TCATAGGAAATGATAAAAATAATATACCTACTAAATTTCTAACTTGCAATTGTTGTCATCAAAAATCTTCTAATAAATGGAAAAGATCTATAACAACAGATGATACTCTATTTAATGATGAGTTAGAAATTGTTGAATTGGATTTTTTAAGTGAAAGTGTTGCAAAGATTTTAGAAAATGCACTATCAAATTCAGATTTTCATTTCCATTATGGAATAAATATTAGAAATTATAATGGTTCAAATAAAGATCTAGCAAGTGAAATCATTGAACAAATTGAGAATGTAGACGAATATAATTGGATTTATAATTGTCAATATAATGGTAATAAATTAACTACTTACTGGTATATGTGTTCTCAATAGAATATTTTACAAAAAAAGTTATGCAAAAATCCTGATAAATTAAAGCAAAGAGATATTATGTCAATAGAAAGATTTGAATGTAAAGGTATCTTGAAGATTTCAATCGACAAAGCTAAATACTTAGCTAAAGTAATACTCCATTACAAATAATTGCACAGCAAGCTAATAAATTTATCTACATCACAATATATAAAAGATTTTATAAAAGATAATATAAATCTTCTTTTAAGAGAGATCTATGCTCATCTAATTAATAAAGATCAAAATTTATTATTAATGATTAAACAGAAGCAAATTCATTATTGATGAGTAGAATTGGAACAAAGTCAGTATAGACAACATAATAATGCAGTAGAATCAGCATATCTTTGGCTTCGTGAAAATCTGTATGATATTATATTATATGAAGTAGAACCTGTTCATTTTTTAGCTTTTGACACTGGAATGCTTAATCAAATACTTCAATTTAATATTAATATTAATGAACTTGGAATCAACACTACTTACAAGACCAATAATTTGGGGTTTGAGTTATATGTTTTACATGTAAAAGAATATAGTACTGGTTTTTCACTATCATATCTATTTCTTGAAAACAATGGTCGATGTAATGAGGGTGTACGAACAGGTGTCTTGCAAAAATTTTTAACTATATATCAAGATAGAGGATTACAACCCAAATTTTTTTTAACAGATAAAGACTTCGCACAGATTAATGCGATTTGTTTTACATGGCCATAGTGTAAGGTTCAATTATGCAAGTGGCATGTTAAAAAAGCTATTAATACAAGATTATCAAATAACAAACCTACTAGATCTTCAGGCTTTAATCCTCTTTCTGAACTTGGAAAAAGATTTCCATTTGATGACATTAAACAGGCAGCACAGTTCTGCTCTAAAGATCTTTGAAATATTGTATTGAGCATTGTAGAAAAATACTTGTATTTACATTCTTTTATTCCAATAAGTGAAGGTCAATTTTTAACAGCAGATTTAATTTATGAGACATCTGTTCAGGAAATATATATATTTTGCAAAAACAATTCTTTAATATCACTTTAGTCCTATTTTTGGACTGAATGATATAATGAATCAAAATGGAAGTTATGGGCATAATCATCTTGCACAAACATGATTTCTATTTTAAAAACAACTATGTTTATTGAAGGTCATTGGAAGGTAGTCAAAAGAGATTTCTTGTACAAATTCTTTTACCCAAGAGTAGATTTAGTTGTATATACCTTGATGAAACAAGTTGTTATACACCAGCAGTGTAAATTATAACAAATTCAAATTGGACATAAAAAGCCCGAATGGGTAAAAGATTTTAAATTCGAATAAAAAGAATTATCTAAATGAAATATTAATCAAACATATACTACTAATATAAATAAATAAATCTGTAGATGTCATTATTATTTGACAAGTCAGTTTAATTTATGCAAGCATTTAGTGCATTAAAAAAGAAATGTTATGGCTAAATTTTTTAACAATTTAAAAAGAATTTCACAGCCTCTTTTTTTAATTGAAAATTTATTATCCTTTAACATTATGAATAACGATAAAGAAAATAACTATCCTGATGATAATTCTGATAATTTGATTATAAACAGTAAACTAATTAAACCAGTTGAACTAATTGAAGAACCAGTTAAGGAACCCATTAAAGATATTTTTAATAATTTGATCAATATGACTAGAAAAGCACTTACTATTTTTGAAGAGCAAAAATTAGTTGAAAATATTAAATGGTGTGGAACAGTAAAAAAGTCTTTTGAACCAATTTCTAAATTAGTTGAGAATATTGAAAAATATCAAAGTAAAAGAACAATGCCATTGACATAAAAAGGTCATATGGATAATACTCACTATTTGCAATAATAATTATTTATATTCATCTTGCATTTATTATAGATCATTTGCATTAACTGTATTTTCTTGCATTATTTAAAGCATACATGTTATGTATTTAATAATATTTTATGCTTTTTTATATTTCGTGATTTCAAGATAATATAAATTTTATATTGTTGACAATCTTTTTTAAAAAAAAACATTTCATTTAACTCATTACAATACTATAAAACAATTTCTTTTTTATTTTGCAAAATAATTGCAATTATAAGCTTATATAATAAAATTTGTGAAATACAATATTAAATATATGTCTTATTCAAATCGATTAAAACCTATATCTAAGCCACATATCATGTGATCAAGTTTTTTTTAATGGTGATACTGAGGGAGTTAATTACAGGAACAACACTCACGTGATAATCTAGTAGTTGTGAATCTTACCCAGAATTACCAACAAAATTTTGCAATCATGTGATACTAACAAAAATTCTTTAAGTTAAGGTAGAGTTATGTTTTAATAAGATTTTAGAAATCTTAATAGCAAAATTGCTCAAGGAAAACTTTTTATTAATGTGCAGATAGTGATTTCTTATGCAGGTTTTTGAGAAATAAGCTATTTTTGACAAAATGAGCATTTGTTTTGAACTTTCTTGATTATGTTATATTACACTAAATTGTGATTAACAATTGGAAAATTTGTCATCGATCATTATGTGATGCAAAATTTTGTTGGCGATCCTAGGGTGCGGGCTTTAATTATAATTAGCTGATTTTGTAGATCATCTCATTATAAGAAAATCTTATTAAAGTAATGATTTGCTACCACAAAATAAATTCGCAGCCATGAATATGAATTCGCAAGTGTTACAATATAAAAATTTAAAAAATATACTTTTAGCTCTACAGCATACCAAAGTAATTTGGTAATTGGTAAGATAATTCAGAAGTTAGATGAGAGATACATTTAAACATTTCAATTTAGCAAATAAATCATAAATATAATATATGAATCTATTATTGAGTTTAGTAATTTGGTTTTTTGAGTTAGTTTTACTAATTTATCTTATTATGAGTTATTTATGATTCCAAAACAGATACTATCAGTGGAATAGTTTAGTGGAATAGTTTAGTAGAATAGTTTAGTAAAATAGTTTAGTAAAATAGTTTAGTAATGCAGCCTAGTAATATACTGTGTTCTGTATTGAAATATAAGTTTGTGAACCTTGAGATTAGAATGTAATACTATGTTTAAGATTATTAAATAAGGTTATTAAGGTTAAGATAGTTTGATATCAGTAAAACTAGTATTTCGATTAAAATTAATTTATGCATTTTTTATTAGATTTTAGTATATTTTTTGCATTTTCTAGTTTTTTTTTCATTAATTTGTGTATTTATTTAATAAGATCCTATTATGGTTTGTGGAATCTTGTTTGTACTAGGCTTAGGTCTTAGACTCTTAAATGTGAGATCTTTGTAGTAGTGCTTTTATTAAGACCAATTTAGTCTTATATAAAATTATTTTGTCACAATTTAGCTTCATATAAAATATCTTTGTCTTAAATGATTATTGATTATCAATTAACCAATCGTATTTTGCAATATCATGGGATGATCTTCAAAAATCAGCCAATTATATTGAAAGCCTGCTATGCTAAGTAAAATACTACTGTCAAGTGATCATATAAAAAAAACTTCATAAGTCCATTAAGGTTAGGGTTAGTGATTATATTGGGCTTTAAGATTAAGAGGCTATTAGTAAATTTACTCAAGAAATTTTTTAATTAGAGCATAAGAGTGGTTTCTTATACTATTTTTTGAGAAATAAGTAATTTTTAAAAAAGACAAATCTTTGTTTTTATCTTTCTGATCATGTAATATTACATCAAATTGTAAAATTATAGTTCATGATTTACTATTTGCTTACTTACAGTTGATCATCATATGATAGTAGAATTTTTGTAATGATGCTAGGGTAGTTGTAAAAGGAAAATTATATTAACACAGCATGTGCATGACTTATCTCCTTTATCAGCACAGCAATGATCAACATGAGTACCCTATTTTTTAGCCAATAAGAAGCTTATATACATAAAACAAAAATTTTAATATTGGTAGTAGAGGTGCGATCTGTAAACTAGTAGTTAATATAAATAAACTGTAATTTATTGTAAAACTGTAGTTTTACAATAAACTACAGTTTATTTATATTAACTACTAGTTTACAGATTATACCTTTAATTGGTAGAATGTGCAAGAAAAAATTTTTAAAAATGCTATATATTAAATAATTAACAATGTATTCAAACATATTTGAAATTGTGTATTTTAAGGATTTAGTTTTTATTATATTACTCAAATCATATAAAAGAATGTGGGCTTTAATTCATATTCTTACTATGCTTTTACATGAAAAATATAATTAAACTGTAAAAAACTTTGACTAGTAGTCCTCAAAACCATATTACTAACAGATAGATATATATTGCACATTGACTATTAGTTAATTTATACTTATATGACTTTTTATATTCACATATATGATATAATTTTTATTTATAAAATACAATATAATTGGATTTTTTTTATGTATTGATGTCAATTCTAATGGAAAAAACAACATAGACTGTTTATTATTCTTATTAAAGATAGTAATAGGTAAAGAAAAAGTGTTAGCAGTTAGCTGAATACAATTAGATGACAAAACCCAAAGTGATGATAAACATAATGATTCTTAAGATTCTAGTATCTAATTAACTAAATTAATAGTATTGTTATAGAATGAATTTTATTATTATATTTTAGTATAGTTTCATGAATGTATATTTTATTATTTATTAGCATTA